GGATAGGCTCCTTGATGGCTTTCAGGATTTTGCACGTGCATACCTGGATGACATTGCGGTCTACAGTGAGACCTGGGAAGACCACTTAGTACACGTGGGGGTGGTGCTGGACAAGATTCGGGCCGCAGGCCTGACCTTGAAGCCAGACAAGTGCCATCTAGGCATGGCAGAAGTGCAGTACTTGGGTCACAGGGTAGGATGTGGGAGCCAGCGACCCGAGCCAGCCAAGGTAGAGGCTGTAGCTAACTGGCCCACACCTATCACCAAGACCCAAGTGCTGGCCTTCCTGGGGACGGCAGGGTATTACCGACGTTTTGTCCCCGACTACAGTACGGTTGCCAAGCCCTTGACTGACCTGACTAAGAAGAATTTGCCTAAGCAGGTCCTGTGGTCTCCAGCTTGTGAAGCCGCGTTTCAGGCACTGAAGCAAGCTCTTGTTAATGCTCCTGTCCGGGCTGCCCCAGTCCCTAACAAACGTTTTCTTGTACATACAGATGCTTCCATGTATGGACTGGGGGCTGTGCTAAGCCAGGTCGGGGAAGATGGAGGAGAGCACCCTGTCGCATACTTAAGCAGAAAGTTACTACCTCGGGAAGTGAGTTATGCGGCAGTGGAGAAAGAGTGTTTAGCCCTGGTCTGGGCACTGAAGAAATTGAGCCCTTATTTGTACGGGCAGGAGTTTTCCCTTATAACAGACCACAACCCCCTTGTCTGGCTTAACCGGGTCTCAGGAGACAATGGCAGATTGCTGAGGTGGAGTTTGGCACTGCAGCCTTACAACTTCACCATCAGCTACCGACCCGGTAAGCAGAATGGGAATGCGGATGGGTTGTCCCGGCAAACAGACGTCCCTACTTCTTCCCAGTCCGGTCATCCCCAAGTTGACCCGCCAAAGGGTCAAGCCGGGTCTGCCGGAGTGTTCCACAAGGGGGGAGCCGTGTGACAGACCCATCTGTCTGGATTAAAAGTACTGTGTTCGTCTGCTTTGCTGGTTACATGAATTTCCCCATTCGTATGCTTTGTTTAAGGGAATGTCGGTTTTGTCGAACGAAACTACCGAACGGACGGCCACCCAGAAGAGAAGTGTGCTGCTGGTTAACATATTGATCCCCATTAGAACGTTGCGGTTAACCACAGACACTTCTCAATTAAAACCGAATGCCGGGTGGTCGTCGTTCGTATGTCGACCACGAGGCGGCGGCCATTTTAACCATGCGAAAGACCAGCGGTGTTCGACGATTATTTCATGGATCTGCAAACGGACACTTTTTCAACCGAACACCGCTGAAGCCGTCGACCTCCCCTTCTCAATCGACAAAAGCATACGAATGCCGGCCGTTCGGGAGATTCAACAACACGAATGGACTTAACCCAGATAGCCGTCCCATGGAGTCAATCGCATACCGAAGAACTGTAATAGACTTTGACTCCATGGTGATTGAACTATGCGAATGGGATCTGAGCGCTATTCGCCAATAATATGCACTCAGATCCAGGCTATCTGGGGATGTGTTACACGAATGCAGTATGTTCGGCAGTTATAAAGTTATAGATTTTTATGTGTTTTGTGACTTGTATTTAAAATGGCGATTTGCCTCTGCTCGGGGAGATAATTGAATTACTTCCCAATTATCCCCCGAGCAGAGGGGAGGGAACTGTGATACATGATGGGAATATTGTGGGGATGTGTGTCCAAAATGTCCCCATGTCTTTCTGTAATTCCAGTCTCCCATTTGGTCCCCTAGGGGAGTGTCCACCAAGTGGGAGACCTGCATAAATACCGGGCAGGTAGCCCACAGTAAATCAGTTCGTGTTTTACCCTCAAAGTGGAGCTTGGTCTCGTTATTGGGGGGATTTTATTACCGGCGACTAGAGACTGCTTATTTGGATTATTTGCCGCTTGGAAGATATTGGCGTTCGGTTACTATTGTCAATTCGTGGATTTGGAGCTCGTGAAGGGAAAGAGCCGTACAGGTACCGTTCGGGAGTTTGGAGTGTTCCCTAGCTGGCGGTTCGCATGGTTTTACTATACCCGCTACCAGACCACATTATTGCGAACGGGGAGCATTCGCTAAACGGTGGTTTGTACATTTTATTACTGGAGGTACCGTAACAACTACTTACTCTGGGAGGGGGTGCCGACACTCCTGGCACCATAACCACTACACAGAGGAGTAGTGGTTATTGTGCATGGAATATTTCTTTAAATAATCTACAAGTGCCCCTCCCGGGCTCAGGCTCTGGATCCGTCACTGGTATATGACATGTATATTAGTTATATATATATATATATATATATATATAAAACAAGAGGGGGTTGGCTGCACTCACCTTAACATGCATAAATGGGGGTGCTGCTGGGTGCCAAATAATACAATACACAAGATCCAGCGCACTCACCTATCCACTAAACAGCAACTTCAATGTTGAAAGATTTTGTTTTTTTAAAAACACCTAATCTAGGCAAAAATAATGGGGGTTTAGTTACATTATATGATCATACATTGCATAAGCCTGCCACAACGTCAATGTACCCCATCTTTGGCAGGTCCTACACTAACAGCCTAATGTCTGCTCTTATGAGATTAACCTACTTGGGGAAAATAATTCCATCTGGGGCTCTCTGCAGTACAAGGCTAAATAGGGCCCTGGGATGAGGCACCTGTGACAGGGAGGGGTGCAAAACCAAGGAGCTGGCTAGACTCCCAAATATATATAAAACAAGAGGGGGTTGGCTGCACTCACCTTAACATGCATAAATGGGGGTGCTGCTGGGGGCCAAATAATACAATACACAAGATCCAGCGCACTCACCTATCCACTAAACAGCAACTTCAATGTTGAAAGATTTTATTTGTTTTTTTAAAAACACCTAATCTAGGCAAAAATAATGGGGTTTAGTTACATTATATGATCATACATTGCATAAGCCTGCCACAACGTCAATGTACCCCATCTTTGGCAGGTCCTACACTAACAGCCTAATGTCTGCTCTTATGAGATTAACCTACTTGCACCCCTCCCTGTCACAGGTGCCTCATCCC